TGACTTATTTTACTTAGCATAATACCCTGAAGGTACATCCATGTTGTCACAAATGACAAGATTTTATTTCTTTTTACAACTGAGTAATATTCCATTTTATGTATGTACCACTTCTTTAGTCATTCATCTGTTGATAGGCACATAGGGTACTTCCATATCTTGGCTATTGTATATAACGTAGTGAACATAGGGATGCATATATCTTTTGGAATTAGTATTTTAGACCTCTTCAGATAAATACCCAGAAATGGAATTGCTAGGTCATATGGTAGTTCTATTTTTTTAGTTTTTGAGGAAACTCCGTACTGTTTTCCATAGTGGCCACACCAATTTGTAATCCCAGCAATAATGCATGAGGGTTCCCTTTTTGCACATCCTAGCCAACATTTGTTTGTTGATTAATTGATGCTAGCCATTCTGACAGGTGTGAAGTGATATCTCATTGTGGTTTTGATTTGCATTTCCTTGAGGATTACTGATGTGGAGTAACTTTTCATGTGTCAGTTGACTATCTGTATATCTTCTTTGGAGAAATGTCTATTCATGTCTTCTCATTTTTTAATTAGATTGTCTGGGGGTTTTTTGGTATAGAGCTATATGCGTTCTTTATAAATTTTGGATATCAATCCCTTATTAGATATATCATTTGCAAATACCTTCTCCCATTCAGTAGTATGCCTTTTTGTTGTGTTTTGTTGTGTGATACAAAAGCTTTTTAGTTTGATATAGTCCCATTTGTTTATTTTTGCTTTTTTTTTTGTTTGCTGTAGGAGACACATCACCCCAAAATATTGCTAAGATCAATGTCAAAGAGTTTACTGCCTATGTTTTCTTCTAGGAGTTTTATAGTTTCAGGTCTTACATTTAAGTATTTAATATATTTTGAGGTGTTTTTTTTTTTATGTGGTGTAAGAAAGTGGTATAAGTTTATCCAGTTTTCCCAGCACCATTCATTGAGGAGACTCTCTTACCCCATTGTATATTCTTGCCTCCTTTGTCATACATAGATTAATTGACCATATAGGCATGGGTTTATTTCTGGGCTCTCTATTCTGTTCCATTGATCTGTGTGCCTGTTTTTATTTATGCCAGCACCATGCTGTTTTGACTACTGTGGCCTTGTGGTATAGTTTGATATCAGGTAGCATGATGCCTCCAACTTTGTTCTTCTTTCTCATTAGAAAGACTTTTGCTTTGCTTTGATTATTCAGGGTCTTTTGTGCTTCCATATAAATTTTAGGAGTATTTGGTCTAGTTCTGTGAAAAATGCCATTGTTATTTTGGTAGAGATTGCACTGAATCTGTAGATTGCTTCAGGTAGCATGGACATTTTAACAATGTTTATTCTCCCTATCCATTAGCATGATATAGCCTTCCATTTGTTTGTGTCTTCTTCAGTTTCTTTCTTTATTGTCTTATAGTTTTCTGAGTGAGGTCTTTTATTTCAGTTCATCAAATGTTAAATGTAGCCCTTGTTTTATAATAGTTCTTAGTATTAAAAAAACTATTTAGTCAAAAGTTGTTTCATTAAAGACATTTAAGAAGAGAACTAAATTTCTTAGAGTGATATTATTATTCTATTGGGTTGTTGGAAAAGTCACAACGTATTTTTTCTATGTTTTTCATTGCAAAAATGCNTGTATCAGTGTTGCTTATTTATATTGTATTAAATTGTCTAGTTCAGATATTGAAAGAATTGAATACCATACAGAATAGAGTTAATCAAAGGGAATGTGAATGAAAACTCTCCAGGGTAGATGGGCCTTGAACTTGACCTTGAAGGGTTAGGAGGGAATAGTTAGACTAAAAGGAAAACAATGGATAATTATTGAAGAAACAATGAAAACAACAGACTAAAAGTAGGACAGAGCAGAATGTGTTGGGGAACAATAGGACATCAAGTTAATCAGGAAAGAAATTTGAAGTTTAGAATTCATATTGTAGGTGACAAACAGCTACAAGAACCTATTTATTGTCTCTTCTGGAGTCCAGGAATAAATTGATGAAGAAAGCATTTAAAGGATGGTTAATAAATTTTGATAAGAAGGATGGATTCAAATTGGCAAAGACTAGAACAAACCCAGCTGCATGAAATAATGAAGGCCTGGTGTAGAATTGGGCAAGGGAAAATAAAAAGGAAGGAACAAATAGAAAGAATGTGCTAAGCAAAGGAGCACACCACTGTTTTTATGAATTAGAACTGAGGATGGAAAGCATAATAGAATGAAAGGGGATACCAGGGTATTATAGTGAAAAACCACAGAAAAGTTTAATGGATCTTACCATGAACAAGGTAGTCAAGAAAATGGTTATTTATTCCTTAATTGTGGTAAATGGCATTTTCTTTTCTACAGATATATTTTGTTTCTAAACTTGATTTCTGAGTCTTTTATACACAAAATGAAGCCAATAAATTTAATCCACAAACATAATAGCAATTAAAGAAATATTTAATAAATCTCTTCAAGTGTTCCATTTCTCATTATCCCTGTGGTGCTCTACCTAACAGAATAAATTGTTATTCTGAGGAAATGTACTCCAGGGAACTGCTGAAAAATAATATTAATCATCAAGCATTATTTGTCCTTTGTTTGATTTGCATTATGGATGTTGACAACTTAAATTGTCCCTTTCTGTGGCGTTCCTTAATAATGACACACTACATCCTGATTCCCTGTGCATCTGGAAGAAGAGAGAGCCAGGAAAAAAAAACATGATCTGACACTTGTCGATGTGCCAACTCATCTCTTTATACATATGTGCTATGTTTGTCTATCACCCAAATTCTCTTCCTGAATCCAGAAAATATCTAAATTCATTCCCTTTTGCTATAGCCATTAGAAAAAAGAGGTCTTCTTTTTAGTGACTAATTTAAAAATTATAAAGACTATCAAATGTAACCTTTGTCAGACACTTTAGAAATTATTATAAATAGCCTTGATACATCAACTTATCCTGGGCCATTAATGAAACTAGATAACTGATTGCTGTTGTGGTAGTATTCAATGAAAATGACTGTGTTCAGGGTGATTTTTAGTAAGTAAATATTACTGCTCAACTAACTATTGCCTATACCACAACTTATAAGGTATCAAAGTACTTTAATATTACTAAATATTAATATCTAAAATAAATAGTATATACTATCTAGATATAGTAACTATATTTCTTATCTGTTGTTTGCCCAGTACCTTATATGCTTATATACTTTAATGATACTCCAAAATAATTGTATGGAATTTTGTACATTTGTTACCTACATATTTGCATATTAGTGCACAATTATTACACTACAAGTACGTGAACTGAGTGGATGGACCTCAGCTTTGACAAGCATCAGGTTGGGTATCAGAGACATGAGTTGTAGTGCTACACTCACTTGTACACTTTTATGTGAGTGGACACGCACAGGAATGACTTTTAAGTACCAGTAAGTGCTATAATGTATATAACCACAGATTTGGATAGAAGAGATTGATTCATTGGTGTGTATAAATACCAGATAACTTGGCATCAAAAGTTAGAGTATTTATGAGGTCTGACAATTAAGGTCATGAACTCATCCTAGAAAAAGTACTATATACCTCTTTGCTGAATATCACTGCAGTCACCTTCAAAGTACTCCCCTTGGGAAGCTATGCACTAACACAAGTGCCTAGTCCACCCTGTAAAGCAATTTTGAAACTCTTTCTAGAAAGGCCATCAGAGCTGTCATCATATTACCCTTGATGTCTTGGATATCATCAAAATGTCTTCCTTTCAATATTTCCTTTATCTTCAGGTAAAGAAAGAAGTCATTGGGGGCCAGATCAGGTGAGAAGAGAAGGTGTTCCAACACAGTTATTTGTTTACTGGCTAAAAACTCCTTCACAGACAGTGCCGTGTAAGCTGGTGCATTGCCATGATGCAAGAGACATGAATTGTTGGCAAAAAAGTTCAGGTCATTTTCATCTAACTTTTTCACACAGCGTTTTCAGCACTTCCAAATAGTAAACTTGGCTAACTGTCTAGTTGCTACAAATTTATAATGAATAATCCCTCTAATATCAAAAAAGTTTAGCAACATCATTTTGACTCTTGATTTGGACTGACAGAACTTTTTGTTGGTGGGGAATTGGCTGACTTCCATTGTGCACTTTGACGCTTTGTTTCAGGGTCGTATTGGTACACCCATGTTTCAGCANATGACAGAGAGAATTGTATAATTATTTTTTTTCCTGATTACAAAGTCCACCAAGGGGGTTTCTTCTAAATCCAGCTGCAAGATTACTATAGGCCACACTTTGCAACAGATTAAATTACAACATACACAGGAAATATATCTTGTCAGTAGGGTGGTGTTGATTATTTCTCTTTAATGTGAGTTGTATGTGAAGCATTTATTTAGAATATATTGTGTTGTCGGAAAAGTCATGATGTATTTTTTCTAGGTTTTTCATTGCAAAAATGTGTCATGACTTTTCTGACAGCCCAGTAGGTTACTTGCAAGGAGATGATACCTACAGTGGTTGGGAGCAAAAGCCTACCTAGCTTAGGTGCCTAATACTCAAAAGAAGCCAGTATCTCCTCTGAGAACTCCAAAAGCAACTTCCAGGTCACCAAAGAGACAGGCACAATTACAAGAATTACTGCTCTCAGAGAAGTTCAAAGACATGGCTTTCTTTCATGCATTTATTGTTCGCCCAGTCCAGGTGACATTTACTACACAGGGTTCATTTTACTATAAGCACTGTTGCCTAGAAACAGTTAACATTCTAACTTCATCATGTTTCCAGGAGAACAGAGTTATAAATTAACCAAAAGCCAAATTCTTATTCAGAATAGGTGCTTAGAAATACAGGTCCTATTAATGTTTTTTTTGTTTTGCACAATTAAATACATATCAGTGTAATTTTTTTTGTCCTGTCCATATAACTTAAAATTCCTATTTTCTTACCTGAAATTTGTATTTTTTTAACCATAAATTCTGTTTTCTTCTTTTGTTCTCCATATTTTCACAGGTAAAATATGGAAATTACGCTTTTGTGTGGGATGCAGCTGTATTGGAATATGTGGCTATCAATGACGCAGATTGTTCCTTTTACACCATTGGAAATACCATTGCTGATCGGGGATATGGAATTGCATTGCAACATGGCAGTCCTTACCGGGATGTATTTTCACAAAGGTAAGATTTGTGTGTGGTCCAAATAAGGAGACAGGAAACAGAAAAAGAAAATCTATTTGGTTACCCTATTTAGTTTGTTGCATTTTGTTTCCTTTGGAGAAGCATTAATAAACAATAGCAGAAAAAGGTAGTTATAAGTGATAAAACATTCATTTCCTAAAACAAGCACTGAAGTGTTATTTTTCCCTTAAAGGAAAAATTGCTGCATATAACTGGTTTTACTCTCAAAAAATTGATATACAAATGAAAGTGCGTTGATAATTTCTTTAGAACTTAATTGAGCAATTTAGTTTTTGAATTTTTAGAGACGAAATGTTATAGAGTTAGCAAAATTAATTCCTTTCTAAGAATACCATAGAATAAGATGAACTTTAAAACCAAGTTAAAGTTCTGATGTACTGAAACAGGGAATGATAGGGATGTTTCTGTCTGAATTTTGCAAAGGAAAATGGTAAGAATATTACCGTTCATTACTTGGTGTCAAAGTATATACGGAACATCATCATGGAATTAAGGAGTTGGTTTGTGAAGAAATTATACCCATTGTCAAATCAGAATTTTCTATTATAATTTGTTTAAGAAAGAATATTTTGAATTGTATATTTTATATTAACAACCTATATAAAAGACTTTGGCCTGAAAGGAATCCACGAGATCACTGCATTCCATTCTATCTGCTACCCAACAAGCAAAGAAAGAGTAATATCTTTCAGGTAATATTCCATTTGACACTGATAGTACATTTTGTTTATTTTCTGGTATCCTTCGATTTTCTAAAAGCTAATGCCAGACCAAGAGGGCAGTGCAAGGTAGTCCCCAAATTTCAAGCCATTTGAGTTGTTTTCCTCCAAATTCTAGGATAACAAAAAGGTGCGTATTTTGTGTTTAAAAAAAATAAAAATCAGTCAGTAGTCCAGAATTTATGTTATAACTCTTCCATTAGCTAAACAAAAATCTAGGCCTCTCTCCTTATCTGCCAAAGAGGAAGTTAGATGAACTCTAAGGCTCTAAGTTCCTGTATCAGTCAGTTTTTCTCTGTAATAAACAACCCCAAAGTATCAGTGACTTTAAAGAAATTATTTCTCAGTCATGAAGAATTAAGGCTGTGATTTGGCAAGTTCTGCTGCAACTTGTGGGTCACCTGCAGGTCTGCTCTAGGCAGCTTCTCGTTCCGGGGTCCAAGCTGGAGAAGCAGTCCTGGGACAAGTTGTTTTCATTTCAAAGAGCAATTGCAAAACAGGGCTGGCAGAAGCCTTCACTGCTTCCTGCTCTTCTTGTGTGGCTGTGGCATGTGGCACACCTGACCATAGACTACTAACTAAAAGGAGTGCCATGGTCAAGCCCAAAATCAATGGGCTTTTTCTACATAAAGGGAATATTCTACATAATTCTACATAATTATTCTATAAAGGGAATAAGGGGGTAAATAATCATGGACAATAATATAATTTAGTACCATTGGTCCCTCTAGCTCTTAAAAATTCTAAGTATAAGACAAAAATGAAATATGCATAAATTGGGAAGTAAAATATTAAGGTATAAGTAGTGATTAACCAATGAAAACACATTTGATGAGTAGNACACACACACACACACACACACACACACACACACACACACACACACTCCAGAATCAATTATAAGCCTCTCTCAAAAATACTTTCATTTATTTACATCACATTTTTCCATTCCAAACACCCATTTTACTCACCAAGCTTAACCCCAAGACATTTTTTACAGTTTTAAAAATTCAATCTCTTTTTAAAGGCAACATTTGATGTCACTGAGGATAATCAAAGCATGTGCTACTTTTCTAGACCCTTAAATATTGTGAGCACAGTAATAACATGGGTATATGCACATGGGCACCCATGATATCTACATTGATAGAAGAAACAACCATAAATATGAGACATGAGTGAGACTTTGGCATGCATTTAGATGGCTCCCTAATATTACCAAGAAGGGAAGCTGGGGACCTTCCCAGAGTCTAACCCTTGGTCAGAAAATGCCCCAGGGACCACGAGTCCAGGCCCCCAGTCCAATGCTTCACCCCTACCCTTTTCTGCCAGTTTGTTTTGTTATCAAGTCAGGTTTTGTATTCCTAAAATTTAGTAAAATAAATGTTTTCAGAAGCACATTTATACTTTACATAAAGGAGTCAGGAATATTAATCAGTAAATATGTTTAACAGAGTCATAAACATGACTCTGGTTAAGTCATAGAATCTTCCTGGTTAAGAATTGTCATTAGTTTATAGACATTCAGAAAAAAAGCAGCACAAATGAGAGACAGTGCTTAGAGTTGCATTAGTCCTAACTAATAGAGAAACTATACTATAGCCTAAAACAATAATTAACATTCATTGAAGACTTAACATGTGCCAGGATCTATTATCAGTGTCCTAACTATATTAAGTCATTTAATTTTCACAATAACCATGCAAGGTAAATACTATGATTAGCCTCATTTGACAGACGAGGAAACTGAGCCACAGAAAATCTTAACAGTTTTCAAAGGTCATAGGCTAACAAGTGGCAAAGACAGCTTTGAACCCATCAAATATTATATTACCCTAGTTCCTACTCCCATAAGTCTAAGCACATGCACCAGTGGGGACCAGAATAACAAGCATCCAAATTGTCTTCCTGTCTGTTCAGGCAGCTGCCTTCTCTCACATTATAATGCTGATGGGCATTTTAGTTTATATGAAACTCGGGTGACTTTCAGAAACTTAAACAGTGACAGTCCTCCATTACCATTAGGGAGCAGATCCATCTGAAATTAAGACTGTCTTGCATCAGCTGATCAGACATAAACAATACAAGTATTGAAAATTGAAAATGTGGGATGACACTGAAATTATTTTCCCTCTGTGTTATCTTCTTTTGCTACAAATAACTTCAGATTGTACTTGACCAAACTTGACTTCTTCTTTCATGGAACTTCTCATTCATCATGACTTTTTAATTGGTGGAAATCCGTAATTGCCTCTTCTCTATCTCATTTCATAGTTCTTTGAGCCGCTCAAAAATATTAACATTGTAGTTGGTCAGATTGTCTACTGACATTTAAATGCTTACTACTGATGAAACAGAAGCTACTATTTTCTAAAACTAAATTATGGCTAACATAAAAATAGAAAATTTCCATGGCATGACATTTATCAGTCCATACGGCTCAGAATGATAAGTCTGACAGACACACCAATGATTTTTGTCTTAATAAACATAGTTCCCTGCTTTAACACCAACTTCAAAAAGAGAAAGATATACCTCAAAGTGTGCATTCACTTTTTTTCTTAATAATCCATTCTATAGCTGTCATTTTATGAAGATATGTTTGAAATAATGTTAATAACTATTAAAAAGGATTGAAATCCAACATGCTTTTATTTTATATTATTGACCTCAGAAAATGTATATAAACAGATTTCCTTAGTAATCTTCTTACCAATGTTCCATGGAAAGATATGCAGGCATGATAAAAGGAGCCAGCAAGCTGAGAAAAAAAGCTATGGGCTTTCTGTTCTAATAAGGGTTTCAGTCTTTTTCCAAAATAATGTTTTCAGTACTAACATTTTATTCAGATGATTTTTATCAAATTTTTTGGTTTCTTTCTATAATTAACCAAGATCTTTCTAGTACTCCCTATAAAAGCCAGCATGGCCCTTCTAGGTAATCTCTCATATTCTTTGAGCTAATCAATGTGAATTTCTTCTTTTCTTTGTTTTTTAGCAACTGCAGAAATTTTCCAAACAAATTGCCTCCCGACCAGAATATATTCAGTAAAGTAGCAATGAATATTTAATTAGGTTGATCAGATAGAATAGACTGGAACCCAGGAGCCCAAGCTATGTGTGTCATGCCAAGCTGTGTAGACTTAGGATATAGGGAGTCATTGAAGAATTTAGTAAACACTAGCCATAATTAGAAGCATGCTCTTTAATCAATCTAGAAAGAATGTAGATAGAGATAAAGAGAGAAAGGCTGAGGCAAAAACTTGTTTTCAAATGTCCCTTTTTTGCTTTCCTGGCCTTTGCATTCCATTATCAATAATCTAATTGAATCTCTTAGCCCAGTGTGTCTAGGAACATGATTGTCCCATTCCCTCCAAACCTATTCAAATCATAGGTATGCATTCTGAGAGTTCCAGCTCATGACCCGCCCTCAGCATAAAAGTCTTTCCGAACACATTCAGCTCTCATTAAACCCTTCATTGTGTTTCTGTATTTTATCTTCTCTGCACCATATATGTCACTTTTTTTGTTAATTAATCATTTCTTGTGTTCATATCTTGATATCTCAAATATATTCTAAATTCTTAGCTTACAAAGAATTACAAAACCTATCTTATATCTCCTTGTTTATTTTCCATAATAGTTATTATATACCTAGTAGGTGTTCAATAAATTCTCATTAAGTAATCTTTGATGGAAAAATAGACAACCCTATTCTCATTTGTGATTCCTAAGGTCAGCAATTTACTAAAGAATAGTTTACATGTTTATTCAGTTGAGCAACTACTTAGTGCTTGATACTATTTTATTCTCCTAGAAATAAAATATTGAATATGATTGACATAGTTATTGCTTTCCTGGAGCTTACATTAGACTGGAGAGTTGGAGGGGGGACAAAAGTACAATAAATAAGAAAACAAACAGGACAATTTCATATTAGAAAACATGCTATGAAGAAAATGTAACTCGGATAGAGCATAAAGATGGATCAGTGTGGAAATGGGTCACAAAAAACCTTTATGAGGTTACACTCTCAAATGTAAAATGCAGAGAAAGAGTATTTTATTCACAGGCGAAAACAAATGTAAAAGTTCTGAAGTGAGAGCCAGCTTGGAGAGTTTTAAAAATGGCAAGGAGTCCAGTGTGGCTCAGAGTAAACAAACTCTGAGAGTACTATGAAAACAAACTCTAAAGAGAGTGATATGAAAGGAAATTAAAGAGCTACTTGGGCCCAGATGTATTGTAGAACCTTGAAAAACAT